GGTGAAAGGCTCTCTCAGGTGAGGAAAGCTCATGTATGCTGCCTGAAACATTTTCGATTTCTAGGTTTGGCTACAAAACAGTTATCTCATTGTTTGAAAGTAACCTCATGGCACTTTAAAATAACTTTGTGGATGAGTGTGGTCAAATTCATTAGAATGGACTCACCTTTTATGTTTGATCATCAGAATCAATCTCCTTATAGGAAGTGAAGGTCCAGGCGGTACCTTACACAGGGTTTTTCAGCACCTCAGTGGCAGGGCTGGGGCTTAGACCCCATATCACCCAGTCTAAGTTCAGAGTGCTTTTGCAATACGAGGATCCATTCAGGAATGTAAGTGCCAAAGAATATTTAATTCCCCAGCCTTGTCTCATAGTGAATCATAGATTATAAATATAATTTCTTCCAAATAAAATTTGGGCAAGTGATTGTTTCCTGTGACAAGGGGACGTTTAAATGGAAGTAAATAAGTTTCGATTCTATATCCCAACAGGAACCTCTCCTATCCCTGATTTGGCTCTCATTTTTTTATTAACCTCTTGCCATAGACTGTTGGCTATTGTTGCTTTTTTTCCATAAATTGGCTATTACAGATAGTAATATCTGGTAAGTAGGACTTACACGATTTCTCTTATACAGATACATTGGAGGAGAAAGATTTGCAGAAACACAAATTGTGTCTAAGCCCTTAAATTGCACTGGTCAAAGGACTTATGCAAAAGGCATAAGAGAGGAGAAAAACAGGAAAATACTCTTTTCTATATTTGGGAATAGTTCTTACCTACACTTACTCTTTCCTAATGGTGAAAGCAAGCAGTTTGAGATTCAGCCCCTGGGTATCCCTACATTTCTCATGACAGTTCCAAGTTTCAGAACACCCCCAAGGGTTCTGTGATTACCTAGACTATAAGTCTCAGGGACCAGGGTGTGTTTCATCCTTTCTGTGGTCAGATCGGCTAGTCTGTGATGAACCTGAATATATTCCAGTTACAGATGTTGGTAAAAAACGTAGGGTCCAAGTGGTGAGTTTTCTATTTCAAAGTTATTTTATAGGAAATGAAGCATCTGTTTGAATTCAGAAGAAATCAATTGTTTTACTTTATCAGGCAAATTGTATTCATTTTGCCATTCAGGTTTTGTAGAAAGATTGCTGTCTCCTCTTTCAGACATGATAGTGTAGATATATAACATTTTTCATTCATTCATTCATTGAATATCTATAGAGTATGTTAAGTTTATTTCAAGATCAAGATACCTTGTGGTTAGAAAGGGACAATCTACTTTTTTTTGTTTCATTTCAAATATCCTAATAGTTTTTGTTACATAAGAAATGCATGGGATGTAGGAGACCCCATAGAGTTCTCCTGAGGGCAGTTTTTTTGACTGGCATGAAAGTGTCAGGTTCCAACTTTCGAGGCTCTTCTACTGGTCATTGTAAATAGGCATTACACTAGCATTCCAGCATAACGCAAGTTTCTTCCCTGTGTGTTTATGGAATCATAATAAGGAAGGAGCACAGACATTTCTGCCTTTACCCGACCATGTTCACTTTGGTGGAAAATGAGGGATGAATATTATTCTCATTAACCTGGTACAGAGCTAGCTTCATTCATATATACAAAAATGTGTGGTAGCAAAGGGTCCTGTGTTTTGTTTAATGCTCTGCTATCACCATTTTGAAACAATAATCTATGACCAAGAGGCTCTGCATTTTCATTTTGCAATGGGTCACAAAAATGATTTTGCTGGTCCTGCCTACATAGCACATGTTCTTCTTGGCTACTTTGATCTGCCCTCGGCCTCCAATCGTACTCTGTCAACATGTCCATTCTCTTGTCAAGTCAAAGAAGCAAATGAGAAACTGTTGTTGTTGCTGTTAACTGAATGCTTTTTAAATTAATTTCAAAAGTACTGGTTCCTATGGCAGGTTTATGACACTGATTTTTAACAAAGCTCTGCAAAGTATCCACGTAGATTTCCAATCATGCAATCCTTAACTTTGGTGGGTTTGTTGTTGTTTGTGTTCTAGGCAAATTAAAAGCTAGTAGTGTTGGTTTTAGGCTTTTAAATTTTTTTTAAAGACACCTGAGTATACTACTTGACTTACGGTTCCATAAAGTAAAATTTAAAAAAAGTTTGAACTGAAATGCGTTTTCCCATTCTTATCTTGGATAGTAAGCAGCTCTTTGTCTACATCTGGGAATTCCAGCTTTATGATGCATAAGTTGAGGCATTAGATTTGGAAGCACACTCTGTTGTTATTAAGTAAAATATTTCCCCTGAACTGTATAGAATTAAAAATGCTGGCATTTAAAAGCTTAGCCATCAGCACCTACAGTGCTATTAATGACTGGGAATACAATTTCTGCTTCTTTAGTACCAGCCAATATGTTCAATCTTCCTGCTATTCCAGGGGTCTCCTTTGTGCCTCTGAGGTTTACTCATTTATGCATTCTCCATTTCTCTTAAGTCCTTCGAGAAGCACTGAGTGTTTGTTCACTGGCTTTTTAGAGCTGTCCCAAAACTTTTCTCTTTACATATATTGAAGAAAAAAAAAAATCAAAGGGCTATGTTTCTTTGTTCTCATCCAAGCCCACAATTAGCCCCAGTTCCATTCTGTATAGCTGGAAGGAGGAGGAAAGGGGTGGCTCCATGCATTTTACTGCCTATGAGAAAGTGCTCAGCCGGTTTCTTTGTCCTTTTTGTCAGGGCCGGCTGCTTCCCTAATTGTACCGCTGTAGGGAAGCACGTGCCTCTGGGAGCATTATCTGATTCCTACAGGACGTTCAGGAGTGCTTTGCATGCTGACCCTTAACTTGAACACAAATAATATCTTTTCAATCCCATTCCTAGGCCGCTGCTGCAGGCTTGCATACCTGAGGACTTGAATTCAGCCGGGGGCCGGGGTGTGGACGCCTGGTGGGGCCTTGGGTTTTATTCTCTGCCCCCACCCCCCAAGTTGTCTCACCTGAAGGTTTGCCTCACCTGTCAAGAGGGGAAGCTGAAGCTGGAGGACAGGAGAGGAATAGGAGCTGCAGAAGTCAGAGGGGAAAGAAGGCAAGACAAACAGCTGCTCTTGTCAGCATGGGGAGAAGTGTAAAGAGATTAATAGTTATTTGAAGAGCAAATGGGGACGTGGCATCCGGCCGTGGAATGCGAATATATAAGTGTACTGGAATGGACATGCAGCCTTTAACATTTAGACAGATGCTCTCTGGACTGAATGGAATGGTGGAGTTCGTACTTTCTCCTCCCTGTGTGAAATACCTAAAGTTTAGTTAAATAATTTACTTTAATTACAATTAAAGCTTCTATTTCTTTGTGAGTCTGTTCTTCTCCATAGTTTTACTTGGTTGGTGACTCTCAGAGTTATCGTTCAACTGAAGAGCCAGACTCCTCATTTCCTTTATAAAACAGGTACCAAGGAGACTTCTTTCCTCTTCTTGCTTTTGCTTTATTTTCCCCTTCGATAACTTGAAGAAACAATGCGATCAACATGTGTCAGAAGTTTTCACACAGGAAAAACTGTACTGTACAGTGGTTGCCCCTTCTGGAAATGTGTCCAGTTTGACTCCAGTTTAGGGAGGACTTGAATTATCTCATCAGGCTGACAGGTGTGATGGTGGCTGGGCAGGGCCCTGGACTCAGACTCAGAAGATTTGGTTTCAAAATTCCCACTCTTTGCTTATTAGCTGATGCTTGAGCAAATCACCCCCGCTCTCTGATAGTAATACATTTATTTTTTTTTGCAGATTAAATGACAAGTCAATTCATTCTTTCCATACACATCATATCAAGTGCCTACTCTGTGCCCATTTGCACAGAACACCTAAGAGCATCAGGCAGAGGCGTATAGGAGCTAACATACATCTGAGTTATATCAAATACAGAATGTAAATCCTAACTAGATGGTGTTCTTCTTACACATGTTCTACTCTGGCAAAGAAGAAACTGCTACAAAGAAAAGGAAAGAACAGATGAAAAATTAGGCTGTGTTTGGATGATATACTAGCATGTTATCTTTAAAAATATCTAGGTGGCTCTCCGTAACCTTGCTGCCCATGGTTCTCCAGTTTTGATGAACTGAGTCCTTGGGGGCAGGGCGCGGGTGGGGCATTCTTCGTACCCTGGGACAGAATTTAGATAATAAGACTACAAGGAAATTTGGAGGACCTCTGATTTTGCTCCATATACAACTTGAGGCTTAAATCCCCTTTAGAACATATCTATCCAGTGGTCTTTCTCATTCTGAATACTATGGCAGGAGGGGAAAAAAGAATAGCAGGTGGTATTCCTTTATTTTATTTTATTTTTTTTAAAGATTTTATTTATTTATTTGAGAGAGAATGAGAGCTAGAGAGCACGAGAGGGAAGAGGGTCAGAGGGAGAAGCAGACTCCCCTCTGAGCAGGGAGCCCGATGTGGGACTCTATCCCGGGGACTCAGGATCATGACCTGAGCCGAAGGCAGTCGCTTAACCAAGTGAGCCACCCAGGTGCCCTGGTATTCCTTTATTTTAAAGACCTTCTCTACAGCTACTGAGCACTGGACATTTTTGCCCAGTTTGTTAATAAGCACACATTCTTTTTTTTAATTTAAATATAGTTGACGCACAATGTTACATTAGTTTCAAGTGTACAGTGTAGTAATTCCAAGTCGATACCCTATGCTATGCTCACCACATAGGCAGCTACTGTCTGTCACCAGACAATACTACAATATCATTGTATATATTCTGTTTTCAGGTGCTCTTCAGGAGACCACAGTCTCCAAAGGCTGCACATGAAGCTGTGTGATCTGTGAAGGTCATTACAAAACACATGCAGGCCTCAGACTTCCCTTGGTGTTTCTGTGTATCACAAATTAGTCCTTCTACCGGGTATTGTGAGGTTTCATAGATTCAAGGTCGATTTCTGTAGAATGCATGCACCAAATGATGCCTTTTCGGAGCAATGATCTGCCGCTGACATAGCTAACCCTGGGGTTTCTGGATGTCCTGCAGCCACAGTACACAAACCTGGGGCTCCTGAACAGCATGGACCAGCAGATTCAGAACGGCTCCTCGTCCACCAGCCCCTACAACACAGACCACGCGCAGAACAGCGTCACGGCGCCATCGCCCTACGCGCAGCCCAGCTCCACCTTCGACGCCCTCTCTCCGTCCCCCGCCATCCCCTCCAACACCGATTACCCGGGCCCGCACAGCTTCGATGTGTCCTTCCAGCAGTCCAGTACCGCCAAGTCGGCCACCTGGACGGTAAGAGCCCCGGGCCCCTGTGTGCGCTTCAACCTGACCCCTACATCTGAGGGGGGTCTTCACTGCTCCGCCCGGGGGCTTCTCCTCTGTCAAAGCTTATAGATCCATTTCGAATGGTGGACGGTTTCTCACTGTCCTCCAAGGACATTTTGTTTTTGAAAATATAACTCTGAACCAGAGAGGGAAAAAGTGCCATTGAGTGGGAAAAGCCCTGATCCTGGAAACAAAGTCCTATGTTCTGGCAATTTCAGGAGATCCGTTCTCACCTGCCTCTTGCTGTTGTTGGGGAGGCGTTCCTTCCTGTGAAGGTTTTTAGAAAACTGTAAAGCATTATGCCAACAAAAATTATCATAGGCATAGGATACGTGTTCACATTTCCAAGAATGTAGGATAGTTACCATCTCATTATTTTGAAGAAGTAAATGTCATATTAATATGTGGTTAAAAAAAATCACAAACATGGAGTAATAAATTAAAATCTCATTTATTATGGAATGGCTAAATTCATTTATACATGTAGGTTCTATAGCACAAATCATAACTTATTGATACTTATATATTTAACACGTTTAGAATTTTTTTTCCTCAAAGAAGCCTCTAAAACTGTACATCAGAGTCCTCAATTAGTCCAAGGAGATTCTGATTAAAAATGTTGTGAAAAAAGAACTTTGCACATATAACTTTTCCTAGAAAACATGGAAATATTTTCCAAAAATTAAAAAAGTATATAAGAATGTTTATTCTATTTCAAAGTTTGTTTTGTAATGTATTATAAATAAAGTTCACATATCAGGGAGGAGACTTACAAGACTGGTTTTAACTACTTGATCAAAGAATGCCCAACACCAAAGTGGCACACATGTTTTTCAAACAACTTTATATTTGCATGGATTATAGAAGTGCTTCCAAATATTATCATCTTACTGAGAAGTAGCTTTAAAATTGTTTTAATGGGTCTTTCCCACCCCCCTTTGGCAAATAGGTTTTTTGTTTTTGTTTTTGTTTTTTTGTTCCCCAACCTGACTTAACTTTTTTTTTTAATAATTTTTTTTTGTTATGTTAACCACCATACTTTTTTTTTTTAGTTTTTGATGCAGTGTTCCATGATTCATTGTTTGTGCATAACACCCAGTGCTCCACGCAGAACGTGCCCTCTTTAATACCCATCACCAGGCTAACCCATCCCCCCACCCCCCTACCCTCTAGAACCCTCAGTTTGTTTTTCAGAGTCCATCCTCTCTAATGGTTCGTCTCCCCCTCTGACTTACTCCCCTTCATTCTTCCCCTCCTGCTATCTTCTTCTTCTTCTTCTTTTTTTTTAACATATATTGCATTATTTGTTTCAGAAGTACAGATCCATGATTCATCAATCTTGTACAATTCACAGTGCTCACCATAGCACATACCCTCCCCGATGTCTATCACCCAGCCACCCAATCCCTCCCACCCCCCACCACTCCAGCAACCCTCAGTTTGTTTCCTGAGATTAAGAATTCCTCATATCAGTGAGGTCATATGATACATGTCTTTCTCTGACTGACTTATTTCACTCAGCATAACACCCTCCAGTTCCATCCACGTCGTTGCAACAAATAGGTTTCTTTAGAAAGTGTTTTACTTTTTATGTCATAGCATCTAGTTCACTATAGCTTTAATTCAGCTGTACATCGTTTATAAAACAATCTACATTTATAACACTACATCCAAATGTGGTTTCACATGTGTTCCCTCATTTTGTCTTCACTTCTTTGTGAACTAGGTAGGACAAGTTTTATAATTCCCATTTTCCTAGTGAGCAAAGCTAAGAATGTGGAGGTTAAGTGACATCCCTGAAGGGACAGAGGCTTTTGTGTAGCTGGACCTATTTCTGATTCTGCCCTCCCCCCCTGGATTGTGTTCTGTCTTTCTTTTTCTACTGTTCCACATCAGGATGTTCAAAAGTGGTCTAAAATTTTATATTTGTGCTTTTCTTTCACGGTTTGAGAAGCAGTTCTGTCATGGTTCATATTTCAAACATAAAGTCTAAGTAGGAGCCTAAAATTTGATCTTTCTCCCATGTGTTATTTATCACTTGTGTCACAGTCTTGAGTGTCTTTTGCATTAATAATCCTGGAGATGGACACTAAAGGTGAGTAAACTTAGAGTCCATAGGCCTTAAGTAAATACTGGATGATCAATCTAAGTAATACTTTGCTGAAGATCTGCTAAAATAGTCATTTTATAAATGGAGCATGATGTGCTTTAGAATAGGGGTCACCGATTGGGTGTTCACAATCCCTAATCTTCCGGGGTAACAGTTTCTTGTTTGCATACCCAGGCCAAGCCCCACTGTGTTAGGAATAAGCACATCTGAAGGGCTGATGGGCATACTAAGGCCACTAAATGATGGAGCACTTCTCTTCTAACATGGTTTAAGAATTATAGTGATGGAGCTTGCTGCGCATGGAACGTTAAGTTGGTCTCCCCTTGCCTCCCTCATCACCTCCTCATACAGAAATCTTAAGGTTCTTAAGGTTTTTTTCCAGATTGAATATGATTCTGAACCATCAAAGCCCCTTTCTCAGAGAAGTAAATGTGTCACAGCAAAAAAGGCTGGGGAGATATACCTAAGTGGTAGGTTAAAAAAGGAAAGAAAATGTCTTCTGGAGTATACTTACTTTCCTTACATGGGACAACAGTGAGATCAGTATTCTGAATGAAGGGGTAGGCCCTGCTGTTACAGGAAGAGCCACTGTTTGGGAGACAGAAAACCTCAATTCTAGACGTGATCATCTTTGTGACTTCTTAGCCAAGTCACTTTGTCTTTTTTGAGTTCAGTCAGTACCTCTGATGAGGATAAGGTTGAGTCTGGTGAAACCTACTTTCTTTTCTTATGGTGAGGTAGTATTAATAATCAGCATAGGAGTTCTTGGGACATGTGCATGGCTCAGTTGGTTAAGCATCTGCCTTGGGCTCAGGTCATGAACCCAGGGTCCGGGGATCCAGACCGCATCTTCACATCGGGCTTCTTGCTCAGCGGGGAGCCTGCTTCTCCCTCTGCTGCTCCCCCTGCTTGTGCGTGGGGTCACGTGCGCGCTCTCTCTCTCTCTCTCTGACAAATAAATAAATAAAATCTTAACTCTCTCTCTCTCTAGAAAGACTTAGGTTCTCATTAGGTATTTTGCCTGCCGTTATGAATGGCCTTTGTTAAGCTGTTTTGCCTTTCTTGGGTTTCTCTTCAGTGGTCTACAGTCTACTCTATAAATTTTATAGGACAAGTGATTGAATTAGATGTCCATTCTCTCCTACCAGTGTATCACATGGTGTTTAGAGTTGTATTCAGTCCTTTCGTGTTCACCATCAGTTTTATTTTAGGCCCTGGTGCCTTTCTCCTAAATTTAGGGCACTTGAACCCTTATTGGAGTAGCTGTTAAGATCACCTAAAAACACCTAAGCTGCAGCATCTAACTCTCTGAGACAAATTATATATCCTCCCACTTAAACATAGACCTCACATTTTTAAAAAGTATTGTCTCACATGTTCATTTTGGTTGAGCCTCACAACTAAGGCTGGTAGCCCCACTTTTATAAACGAGGAAGCTTAGAGAAGTGAAGGTGATAAGGCTGATCACTGGTCGAGGAAGAAGAGGACCCCGGGGCCCCTCACTCCCAGTGCAAGTCTCTCTGCCATTCTGTCTAGATGGCCTTTCCTTCCGATGGAGAGAAGGAGACGTGCCGGAACGGACAGGCCCTGTGTGGTACGGAGCTGAAGCCCAGTTGATGGAGGACTTTTTAAATGTCATATTACACAACACCTATTTCTTTGACATCTGTGCATTCTAAAGCAACTTTTCAAAATAAAATACTATCATTTACAACTGCCCACAAACTGGAAGCAGCAGAAGCCACTGTCATTAGGAGGAGCCACACTTAACTGCATCGTCTTTGGGTAATTTTTTAATAAAAAACCTTTTTAGTACCATTTTATCACTTGTCATCATCCTCCCGTGTTTTCTCTTTTAATTCTGGTTTTACTCAGAATTAATGCCAAAATATAATTAATATATTTAAAGCATATATGCATATTTGCTTTCTCTGTTTTTTTAAATAACAAATGTGATTGTGTTTCCAGTTCCGTAAAAACATGGTATTTATTTTAAACTTCTTCCAATGAACTAAAATGAAAATGAAGTGTGATAACATTTTTCCGTATTCCTCACAGACCTGCACACATACATTCAAACCCAAACCCACACTGAATTTAGGACTTAAGCTTCAGACTCTTTTCTTATTTCTACAGTCTAATTGCTACTGCTCAGAGAGGGCTCCCATTTAACATCATGAAGTGCCGGTCTAGTATTGTAGTAAGGAGTCATGAGTCATCAGACAGTTGACAGAATTGTATGTTAGAAATGGCAAGAGGGCCACCTGTGTGGCTCAGTCAGTTGGGCTTCTGCCTTCGGCTCAGGGCATGATCCCGGCGTCCTGGGATGGAGCCCCTCATTGTGGGGAATCTGCTTCTCCTTCTCCCTCTGCCGCTCCTCCTGCTCGGGCTCTCTCTCTCAAATAAATAAATGAAATCTTAAAAAAAAAAAAAAAAGTGGCAAGAAAGTTAGGTGTGGATTTCAATTCTGAAATTTGCTCACGGCATATGGGACCTGCCCAAATGGGGATGTTAATACTTACTCCTTATTAGGAGGCTTACATGACCCAGATAGTGCTCTCATGGGCACCTGGCTTGTCACAGGCATATAAATGTTTGCTGACTCTGAATTCCAATCCCTTTGTTTCATGAGCTTATTACAGTTTTGTGAGGGTTCAGTTGTAAAACCAGTAATGATTTGAAAGAATGCAGAGCAAAATGTTTCTACTTTTTTTTTTTTCTTAGTGCTTTTGGGCAATTCCCATGCCTACTCCAGCCCCAAGGGACTGTGATACTACCCACTATCCAAATATATGAATAAGATGATAGAGAATGATAACAGGCTGTCCCATATGCAGACTCCTACAGGGTGTCTGCC